CGCTTTGTGCCGCTGCGCCCCCCGCCGCGGCCTCCCCCGGCCCGGCCGCCTCCGCCCGTGCCCGGACACAGCCGGCCGGGCCGCCGTGGCCGCGCCTGCCACCGGGTGCCCCTTGGAAGAATCTAGGGCTACTTCGTGGACCTGTTGAGTCCCCTGGTTTGGGATGTGCTGTTTGTTATGCAGCGGAGTTATTGTTCGTGCCTCTTCCCTCTGTGTTTAGAAGGCACCTACTTCCAGCGCTCTACCCAGGAGGGCTTGGGTGAATCCGTGTTAAACTCGAGGGGAAAAGCAATGCCTTGCACCAGGGCTTGCAGGATGAAAGGGTTTGTGGCATCAGTGAAATGGAGCTGTCTTGTGAAGCTTAACAGAAAAGCAGAGGACYGTGTGTATTAAAAAAGCAGCCTAGTTTGTGGCCTGGGAGTAGTCTAAGTTTTCATAATTATGCCAGGATTGTTAGAATTGATTTAATATCCTTTCATTGGAGGGAAACAAGACAACATTTGTGTTAGCTTGTAGAAAGCTTTTTTTWWAATTTTTGTTTATTTCGTATTTAGTGTAGAAAGAGAAATGAGGATCTTTTTTTATCTATTTCAAGTTTTCAGCAGCACATTTGAGATGTATTTGCACTTACTATCTGAGTAAGGGATACTGGTATCTATACTGTAGAGGAAGAGTTTGAACATATAAGCTTGACATTCCTGAAAAGWCCTGATTTTGGTTTTATAAGCAAGTGCATGAACAGCTGTGTGGTTCCACTTGCTTAATGTTTTTCTCCTAAGCACTAACAAGTAACATTTTGCTTGGCAGGTGAGTTTTGTTGCTCCTGTGAAAGGAGTAGAGGAAGCCCCTATGGCAGCTGGATTTGCTGCTGCCTGGGAAAGCTCCAAATAGGCCYGGGCCCAGTTAGACCCAGAGCCCTTAATGAGGCGGCACCTGGACGAAAAGCTCTTGGGTTAAGCAGGAAGGTGGAGCTGCCTTGGGGAGGGCTTGTGGGAGAGAGGAAGACATGCTGAGCAGAACAGAAGCGGTAGCATCGCAATAGCTGTCTGTGTCCTCATACCTARGGATAGATCTGTTATGGATTTTTTTGGTGTAAGTTGTAAATCTTGGCTTAGACCAGTGGCTTCTGAGCTTTCTCATAGGATCGGTTTGTTACCAACTCTCAAAGCTTCTTGTTAACCTCCACRAAGCTGTACCTGGGTAATCTTTAAATTGAAGACACTGCAAAAGTGAGACCAGTTCTGTAAGCCATGCTCGGTTGCTCTGGAACCACAGTTTTGAAGCCATKAATTTATGTAATTGCCAAGCTTATGCAGGGACATGGCATAAGGCCTATGAAAGCTTTTAGGATTCAAACCCTTTCGTATGCAGGTCGCCCGACAGGATCTGAGCTCTGCCTGCAATGAGCAGTTGTTAACAGCTTCATCTTTCATGAAGCAAGTGTCATCTCAGTCTTASGTGTCCCCAACATGGTTGCTGTAACCGCATCTCTACTAATAGTCTAGAGAGAGTAATCCCACTGGGAGCAGCAGTGGGGRCACTGTCCCTTCTGGAATTAGTTTTCCTCGGTATTTAACGCGGCTGCTCCTCGAGCAGTTAGGCTGGCAGAGGCCTGTACGGCTGCCAGGAGAGCGGTGTTGCCCTGCACCAGTCTCTCCTTGCGCTAGCACAAGTGTCAGCCACACGGCGAATCGGTCCAAGGAACGGAGCCAGGTTAAAATTAACCTGGAAAAAAAATCCTAACCTTCATTTTAATCCGGGTCTATTTCCAGTTTTAGTTCACAAAATGTAATWGTATGAACTCTCTTGCTGGCACAGGGAAAAGGCTGGCTGGCCAAAGATGAGATGTTTTGTTTGTTTTGATCTAGTGGTTGATATCTAGCTCCTGAAGAAGGATTGTTTATTCAGTTTCAAAACCAAAGAAAGAAAATCTGTGCTACGATGAAGCTCACTTGCTCTGTTTACTTGATRGAGGGGTCTGTATGCATAGTAGAGAAGTGTTTAAATAGTAAGCAGCTGGCCACGGGTGTTGTAATTTGTGTGATAGTCTGTGTTTCTAGTCTTATATTTTTGAAGATGACTGTTTTACTTTGTGCATGAGGTATTGGCCTTAAGTACCTCTGTTTAAAAAAAAAAAAAAAATGCTTTGGAAAATGAGAGGAAAGAACAGTTGAAAATGGATAAACTTCTGGTGCCCGTGAATTAAGGGTGAATAGATAAACTGCAAATAAGTATCTGATGTTGAAACCAAGCTGATGAAGCACTCTTGCTTTATGTAAACATTTTCATCAGTTTAAAGATGGGGTTTAATGGATATTGAGTCACATCTCAGAAAATAAAAAGTATGGGTCTGTATGCACATTAAAATGTATTTTTTTATGAAATACATGGTGAGATTAGCATGGGAAGAGGATTAATTTATTTTGCTACTTGGTTGTAAAATACTTGCTACATATTTGTAAAACTGAGCAAGGAAAGTGATGTTGAAATTGGCATGAGTTTAGATCTATGTTTATTTCAGGTTCTTGCTGCCTGAGTTTGCAGGGTCACCAATTGCTGCTGAAGTGTCAGTTCAGGCTGTTAAATTTTCCTCCTTACTTTACAGCTCCTTGCCCATCTGACGCTTTAAAGAGTAGTACCGTGTGTTACGTTCCTAATAAAAAATCATTTTAAAACTGTGACTCGCATGGAGATTTTTTATGTGTGTGGTTTACATGATGAAGTACCAACTGTGCACTGCTGAGCCTTGGCAGCACCCGTGGCTTTGTAATAACACTGCATAGTATAAATACAAACTTGAATAGATAAATGGCTGGGCCTTTTCTATAATGTTCAGTGAAGATGATTGCTCTTCAAAGTCACTTTTTGTTTGAAGTTAGTTTTATAAAATGTTGTTTGGAAGCAAAAGTGATGTGTGTCACATGATGTACTCATCACTTTGGAGTGAGCTTGAGGTGAAGGTACCTTTTGTTGCTACCAGTATTCTGAATGTTTTCACCACCTAGTCACAGGTAGTAGTGAACTAGTAAGGCGCTCAGGAGGCTTCTTGCTGAGGAATCTAATTTTGTTGACTGGAACTCTTAAAACACCTTTTGGATAAGTATTTCCTAGAAATGAAAGTACTGTACCTCTTCCTGTGTCTGTTATCAGCAAAATAAAATCCCCTTTATGGAGACTAAGCTGCTGGAAGGAAGGAGCAGTGAATAGAGTAAGACCCGACCTCAGAGTAATACAGCTTTGTATGTGCTTAGTCTCATAATGGTGCCTGAAAAATGGCTTCAAGCTCTCCTCTGGTAATTGGTTCTCATGTGGGTTGTTGGGCACRTTCGCCGCAGTTTTAGTTTTGCGTAGGAAAGTGATAGTGGCGTGGCGTGTGTGCGCAGAAAAGGTCGCGTTTGGTAGGTGGTCAAGTAGCTCCTGCAAGTTTAAAGGAAGCTGTATTTGAGGTGTAATCCTGTAAGCTCCCCTTCCTTCCCACAATGGCCTTGAAAGTGGTGTGCCTGCCCATCCCCTGGTTCCCTGAGGGCCAGGCAAGTGGCAGAACTGTCCCTTTCTCCCAGTTCTTGCTCTGGGCACTGTCTCCTTGAAAAATCTTCTAGGAACCACRTAGGAAGATGAGAGGAAGAGGAGTAATGTAGTGGGTAGGTTTGATGCAAAAGGAGCCAAACTGGATGTAGGATTTCTGTTTGGGGTGTTTTGGCGGGGAGTTGCTTTAATGCAGCACATTCATTTTTAGGTTTCCCAGACTGCTGTGAAGCTGAGGTTGAATTTGAGTATGGAAACTCACTGCAATTTTGTAGTCAGTTCCACTGGTTTAGAGTGCGATTAGTTTACAGTCACTCTGTCTTTTGGTGTCATTTTGAACCTTGTGCTCAGTAAAGTTCACTGAATTTGTGTACTTTGAATTCTTTCCTGCGGTATCCTTAGYGGTGCAAATTGTGTCTCTGTTATCAGGAGAACAGGCAATTTTTTTCCCTTCCCCTCTCCATTTGAAGTACATTGCTTATCCCAAATAGGGCAGACAGTGCCTTTGGCAAACAGAGAAATAAATACCTTTGAGATGTAATGGAATGTACCCTTATGATGTTTCAGTTCTTGCCTGTTATATCTTATTCTGGATTTTTTTTGTTTGTTTTTTTATTCAATCAGTGTAGAGGTTTATATTTGATTACTTGTATTTGGTAACACAGGTAATAATTCAGCAGTTTATARTAGCCTGACTATAATATTGCTGTCTCGTTTTTGAATTGCTGTCTGGTAAGAAGTGAGATTTTCACTAAATGAATGTGTAGAGGTTAAATGTTAATCTTTTTTCTTTTTCTTTTTCCACATGATATTACAGGACAGGCAAAGAGGGTCAGCCTAGGGAATACTACACTTTGGATTCTATCTTGTTCCTGCTCAATAATGTGCACCTTTCACATCCTGTTTATGTCCGTCGTGCTGCAGTAAGTGAACCATATGGTATTTTTCTTGTTTGGTTGTGATGAGTGATGCGGGCATAGTTATTATCAGGAAATGATGATATTATTTAAGAGTCGGAATTAGGCTTGGGAAAGGGAAGAAGATCTACATTGGGGCCAGGGAGGGAGTGCATAGGTATTTTGTGTGAATGTGCTTGTATGTGTATGGAGGTACTGTATTTGGTTTTGTTTTTTACATATTTGCAAGTTTGTGGGGAKTGTGGTGAGTATCGGGGCACAAGAGTACTGTTCAAGTGGCTGAATTAGGCTGGGGAGAGGGAAATAGATGCACGATGAAGTGTGTGTGTGTGTGTGTACCTGTTCGTGTGTGTGGGTTTTTCTTAACTGCTGATACTACTTATTTGCAATTTTCAAACCAAGAAAAAGACATTTCTTCCTTCTTGTTTTATAGCAGACATCATTTTTTTWAGTTCAATGTTCTCTAGGAGGTAAATGTATTTCTAAGGTGGGTGGCTCTGGTCGTTTGAGAGGTAGAGCACCTGTGTTCCTGGCTTTGTATGAATGAGTAGTTTTCAGTAAAAGTGAAACATCTTCGACCRGGGACCTTCTGAGGGAATAACAGCCTCATGTCAAGTCTGCTCTCTTTTCAGACTGAAAACATTCCAGTGGTAAGACGACCTGATAGGAAAGACCTGCTAGCATACCTAAATGGRGAAACATGTGAGTAATATTTTTGGATAACTTCATATTTATGGCGCATGTGTCAATAACGAGAGCAATTAGCAGTGAGGACTTCACTGAATATGTCAGGAATGAACAAACAARAGTGCTTTTAATTTTGCTGTTTATCYGTTTTTGTGGTACTTGGATAGGAGCTCATTTTTGCTCGCATCTTTAGAACTGAGCTGCATGTTTAGGGTTAATAAAATAACATGTTAGGATGCTCAGTGTTTTTATCTTCCTTTCCCTTCAGTTTGTGGGAAGCTTTATCCCACACCAAAGTTCCTTTTATTGATAAKTTTTTTCAGTGTAACAGAACATGTCAAATAACTGCCTCTGCAGTTTAGCAAATTTTTCTTGGTATTCAATCATCTTGCAGGTTTTTTTTGTTACCAGTATTCAAACTTAGAATTTTTTTTTTGGTGTCCAGAGAAAGATATGTGTGACTCTCTTAATTTGCTGTTTTTTGTATTTCTTCTTGGAATATTTTTAGAGTAAACTGGTATTTGAGATAGTCTATAATAAAAGGGCAATAAGCTGTTTTTGTTTTTTCAAGGGATGCTCTTCCTTCCAATATGTGGACAAATTAGTAGATTTTGATTCCAGATGATAAAGTAATTGTCCTCAACTCTGTTGGCTTCCATGTGCTRTATACAGATTATAGAATCATTGACAAATTTGTTGGAAGGAACCACAGGAAGTCATTTGGTTTTTACCCCTTCTACAAGAAGGGTCAAGTAACCCAAAGCAGCGTCATCTAACTTCATGCTACATGGAGTTCTGAATGTCTCCTGGTTCAACATTTGACCAGCCTCATTATGATTTTTTTCTTGAATACTTAGTTGAAATTTTCTTTGTTGCAGTCTGTTGTCATACGGTCTTTTATTCTTCAAACTTTTTGAACTTAAATGAGATATTGTGTTTGATTACAGCAACCTCATCCAGTATAGATAGAAGTGCTCCGCTTGAAATTGGTCTTCAGCGATCCACTCAAGGTACAGTTTAACAAAAAATAACTTTGAGGTTTGTGAAAGTGTACTACAACCTTCTATTTTTAACATCCTCTTTTTCTTGTAGTTAAAAGAGCAGCAGATGAAATATTAGCAGAAGCAAAGAAACCAAGAATAGAGGTAATGACAGTAACCATCCTCGATGCAAATCTGGGGGAGGGGGAAGTGATTATTTTTGTAGCAGTCTATTCTCTGGGTTCACATATGTGTAAGTGAACTGGAAAGAGTTTGAATTTGAGAATTTCAGCCTCTGGTTTAAACTTGAGAGTCTTTCTTCCTAGAAATTTCAATTTGTTAAATGTATATCCTGGTATAAAAGGAAAGCTTGGCCACATGTACCTGAAAGACTTCATTTGTGTACTATATATCTAGTTGGAAAACTGTCTATTAAGAGAAAGTTTGTGTTTGGAATCTAAATGCTATTTAATAATTTATGAATGGCAAACAACAGTAATCACTTGGCATTGTAAATTACATGTTAGTTTTAGCTCTGTCTTTGGATATTTTGTATTTATTTTACTTTTTTTAGCAGTGTAAGAAACTTTCATGTTTGGTGATTACTGTTGTCTGGTGCTATGTAATTAGTGTAACAGTGTAAYTGTTAATAAAAAGATTCTGTTGTTATAACACATGATACTACTTCTTCATAGCTGTTTTTAAAGACTAACCTAATACTTTTTTCTTTTTTAACTGTGTTCATCCAGTTAAGTCTCCTTTGCTAATTCTTAGAAGTCTGTGTGTGTGTATTTTCAGGGTACTGAGGATTTCCTCTTAGAAGAGGAACTATTGATAGTGTATAAATTGATGTGTTACAGTGTTGAATGTGAAGATTCATTAATTGCAACTGCAAAAGAATTATAAGAACTATGAATTCTTGTTGGTACATGAGTGGATGCTYGCTCTGATATGACCTACTGATGATCTTAAGTTCTCCATTTGCCTGTGTAGTTCTGATGTTAATATGTTTTGAAACTGCAGTTCTCCAAAATGATGGTTTGGAGAAGGAMGAAATCTGTGGTCCTAGTACAACTTGTGGTCATCATCTRTTTCTTTACTTCTCTGCTAGCTCAGAGTTATTTTTCACAAACTATTCAAAGAGCTTCTCATTGCAGAGATCCAAAATCTTTCCTAATATATGACCATGGCTGGTTTTGCTGCACTTCAGCCTTTTCAGAAAGCTTTTTGGCAATAAGATAAACTTGGTGCCAGTTGAAGTTTTGCTGATGAGCAAGACAAACTGACTGCAAGTGGTCCCTGCACTAGGAAACTGATGGTGTGAAACTAGACCCCTCTCTATTGCTYCACTACTTATGAGCATCTCAAACCCACTTTGAGTAACCAGAGACTTCATTACTTGTGACCTTATGTACATTGGGAATGTCATTTATAAAACTTCTGCGTTAAGATGCAATAGTTAGAAAGAAAAGATTTGCTCAAAGAAAATCATTGCTTAAATATATGGGCAAATTTGAGTGTCAGATAAGTTTACCTAAAATGTATATGTAACTTCCTATATAAATACATGCTTTTGTTGCCTACTTGGTTCTCTGACTGCTTTCATTTCTTTTGAACTCTTGTTTGAACAAGGCTTTTTAGAAGGGAGTGSTAGTTTTTCTCATTATGCCTGATGATTCTTAGGAAATTTTCAATAGCTACACAGTTAACACCAGTGCGTAGTTACAAAAATGCTTGGAAATAAATACAATCTTTGTTATCCAAAAAAGAGAATAAACTCTGAGTAGTTTTAGTTCTGATTTTCTTTATTTTACTAAAAAGAGAACATCAAAAATAAACATTATTGTCATCACTAGGATGAAGAGTGTGTGCGTCTCGATAAGGAGCGGTTGGCAGCTCGGTTGGAAGGACATAAAGAAGGTATCGTGCAAACAGAGCAGATCAGGTAGGAATATGTTTTTTTCTGTAGACTATACCTAATTAAAGGGCTGGTAAAGATTCTTTTCTTATTTCCATCCAACAGCTCTGGGTGAAAGTCTCCCTTTAGGTACTAGCATCACAGTAGCTTTTGAGGAGGCAGAATTTTGTGCAAGCAGTCAAAATACTGCTCTTGATTGGAAGTTCAGAGCTCACAGCGTGGGATTATCTGCTTATCCCCAGAAGCGAGCAGACAGTTTGCTTTTTTCCTCTAATCTGCCATTTCAACTTTTCTACCATGGTTTTTTAAGCAGTCTGACACAATGAGAAGAATTGTGAGGGAAAGCYGGTAATTTTGTGTGGTATTTCAAAACAAAAAATAAAAACTAAAGGTATATTGAAGACGTGTATTATATACAAGAGTAAAACACTATAAAAACAAATGCATACTCTTCTTTAGCTGTCTGAGAATAATGTACTGTTGTTGCCATAAGCAGTAATTAATACCTCAGATGCTTCAAACCTTAATGTCTGGTCACGTTTCTTCTATCATTGTACCCATCCAGAATTCTGTAGAGAATGACTGTTGTCTTTTGGGTTGTATCTTCCCAAAGTTGGGCAGAGAGGAAATGAAGTTATAGCAACAGCTTGTTGATGCTGAGGATTTTAGGTTTAGTAAGCACTTGGTAGGATACCAGAGAGTAAATTGTCAGTTATGTAAGTTAGAAAGTCTAAGATAAAGCAATTTGCTTAAGTTTTGCTGTACCTCAGCTCTTGGAATGTAAAGTAGGATTTGTACTTCCTGCAGTTGACGTGGTTGAGTATGGATTAATTTCTGCTTTGTTGGCATTGAATTTGGCAAATAACAGGTCTCTCAAGAATGTGTGTGGTCTATCAAGTGAAACTTTTCTTGTATTCAGATATGTTGTGAATCCTTGTCTACCCCGTGTCAGAATTAAATATATCACTTTTTATAATAATTAACCTGGCAAGATTTGTAAGGTATGTAATTATACCTGAGCACCTAAAAAATAACTTCTGATAATCCTTTTCTGTCTCCTGTGTAGGTGTACTTAAAAGCAAATAGCAGAAAGATTTGATTACCCCATCTTGACTAAAAGTCAGAGGTGTGGTGATTGTTTTGTGTGAGCTGCTTTAATAATTGGCATGCTAGTTTGAGTGTATAGAGTCATCTCTTTGAGTACCAGATAATGCTGTAGTGAGAAGAGAATTACTGAGTATTATTACTTTATATGCCGTGGTTATTGGCTTTTAATACAGAGTGTAAAACTGCCCTTTTAGAAGTGCGAATAACAGGTGCTGAGGTTGGGGTGTGTGCACGTCACTCTCATTACTCATATTTAGCAGAAAGAAAAGTTCCTTTTTCAGGAGCTTAGCTGCACAAGTGGGTGTTTCATACACAGTTCTTATATTATTTTTTCACTGTGATCTCAAAACACGTAAAATGGGATTACGTATGTGCAGTATTCAGTCCTTCAACTTTTCAGCTCACTTGTAAAGGAATAGGGCTCACTTGCCCTCAAATTCTTCTGTGTGTGCAATTAAAAGCAGAAAAGTAAAGATATTGCAGACCTGGACTGAACCAGCCACCTCAAATACAGCTTGAATGAGGACAAAGTTACTACCATCTGTTGTTTGTTTGGCCAACATGCTCTGATCTGGGAACACTGATTTCTGAGTGGCCAAGTCCCCACTGCAGAACTTCCAGCASATGCCTCCCAGACTGGTAGTTTGTGTACCTCGCAGCAACCAGGGGTTCACTGACYGGACACAGTGGTAATTCACTGTCAGTAACAGGGAACCTAGCTTCAATTAACATTGTAAATGGAAGTGTTCATTCTGGTGCTTTAAATTTGTCGTCTTCACTGCTGCTTCTTATAGCAGGATTTTTTAGTGCTATGTGGAGACTTGTTGTAGCCCTCTGTGGMGTCATCTTGCTAAAAAAATCTTTCTGGAGTCCGTAGCAGTACGGTACTGTCAGCTTATATGTAATCTCTATGTATATGTAAGGTGAATCTGTTATGATTTATGGCATTGCCGTAGATTTTAAGCAGATTTTGTTTCCAGAAGAGTCTTGTGCTATTATTCAGTCTCTCCTGCTGTTTTGGCTTCTTCAGGTCCTTGTCTGAAGCCATGTCTGTGGAAAAAATTGCTGCTATCAAAGCAAAAATCATGGCAAAGAAAAGATCCACTATCAAAACYGATCTGGATGATGACATAACTGCTCTTAAACAGAGAAGTTTTGTTGATGCTGAGGTGGATGTAACCAGGGATATCGTCAGCAGAGAGAGAGTATGGAGGACAAGAACTACAATCTTGCAAAGCACAGGCAAGGTAATATTCTAGCTGCATAACTATTTTTATAAAGCAAATGCAGAAATGACAAAAGGTTGTTTAGCCTGGTGTCTACAGATGGTTGGGGGAATCGTACTTCGGATGCCTCGTAAAGGTAAGTTGGAGATCCGTTGGCACATGGACAAAATATTTGGTTCTTACTTGAAGTGTACTGCAACAAGCTATGTCCTAAAATACTTGTTTCAGCTGTTTAAAAGATACCAAATAATCACTCAATTCTCTCAAAAAGCTTGCTCGAGTTCTGAGGTTGGGAATGCTATATGAAATAAGTGCCTGTTGGTTTAAAATAGAGAAGAGAAATGCGTGAAAAGAGGGGGATTTCACGGGAAAAGGGTTCATTATTCTGTTCTAGTATTCTTGTAATAGTAGTGAGATGATCTAGGGCTTTACACCCTTAAAATCTAACATAACGTGAAATTTTAGGGTTTCTGTCTTTGTGTAAGAAACATTGGGGCAGAGGGGAAAGTTTGGAAAAGCCTTTGTGAAGCCCCTAATGACTGTTTTGAAACTTGGGTGTATTCTCTTAAGCAGATCCCTTATTTGCTTTGTCTCACTGAAGACTTTTGATCAAGGAATYGGGACATCCCTCAGCAAAAAACATTTTGACTTTTCTGCATGATGTCTAACTTGCTAATGTGCCTGCTGGTTCTTTTTATTGCAACCTATCACCTTCTGCCTGGTATAGATTTATTTGGAGTCTCTTGAATCCAACTGCAATGTGGTAAAAACATTAACTTGAGCAGTAAGCTGCCCACCACGGAGGGTGAGASTGCTTCATAGCTGAATCCTCCCTTCACAAGCCTTCAGTCAGTGGTGATGAACTGTGAGCCCTCCCTTGCCGTTTGTTTGAGTCCAGGYCAGCTCCTCAAGCCCTCCTCTGCACAGAGAAAAGCTTCTGTGTGAACTCGACCAAACTTCCCTGTAGTAAATACTGTTGCAGGTAGGTTACAATAGAAAAGGAAAACTTGAGGGAGACCCGAGTACAAAACCCAGCTTTTTGGCAGTTTTCCTGTTTCTGATGTACTCAGAATTCTGTTTAACTGGCAGTGAGCTAACTTTACATTCATGGAATATTTACTATTCCTTTGTTTGGATCATTTTACAATTCTGAAGTTGGCTTTTTTCTTCAAACAGCCTTTGCTGCTTTATGTGACTGCCAGGGATTTTTGCAGCTYTCACATGAGCTCCCATTCCTTTTCTCGTCTTTAGAAGTCTTTACAGTACTTGCACSGTGCCTTTTCAGATGCTACTTTTAATTTCTTTTCAAAAGCATCCTCGTCACTATGCAGCTCCTCTTGTTTGGAGTTAAACTGGTGGACTTTTTTTTCCCCCTGCGTGTGGGTTTATTCCTCTCTTCAGCAAGAACATGGAGTTTGTGTGCRTTGATACTGTGATTAGAGAATTGAGCAGCAACATCTCAAAGTAGKTGAGACTACCAAGGACTAAGAGATGCTCTTCCTTTTTTGACTTCTCTGGCCAATTGCTCCCAGAAGCAAATGCTATTTCACCTTCCTGGCATTTGTCCAGTCCTTAAAGTAACTTCAGTCTCTCACAATTAGTGTGTTTTCCTTGGAAGTCTCTCTGAAATATATAGCTGCCCCTGTAGTGTTCATTTTATTTACCTTGCTTGACTCTAGGCTTTGTGTAACGTGTAGCTAGTTCCTTTATCTGCGTGCCCTCCTCTGTTATTCTTGCATAACTGGTACTTGTTCTTAAAACCTAACACTTCAAACCTTGGCAACCATCCTTTCTTAAAAATTTCTAGAACTGGACTTTTTGTGTCATTTTTGGTGGTATTCTCTGTTAAGCATTTTTACTTTTTTTTGAAAATAGTGCTTGCTTTAATCCCCAGCGAGTCATCTGGCAAAATCTGTTTTAAGTATCTGTTGGCCTTCCCTAAGATTTCAGTATAATCTTTCAGAGTTTATGAATAAAGTGACATTTTATATAAGCACTTTTCAGATCCRGATTTCATTTATTTAGTCTATGGTTCTCCCTCTTTCTGTAGTAGCTTCCTGCTTAGAAGGGGTTTTCATTTCAGGTTTGAGTGAAGACACTCAATGCTGCTGTGTTGGGGCCTTGGCTGACAGTCTAGCCAACTTAAAACAGTTTTCAAAAACAGCACAAGTGCTTTGTAGTAGAGCTTGCTCTGAACTCCCTCTGCTTTCTAACAGCCATGGTTGTTGGCTGCTTTTAAGAAGCCTCTTTTCACCTCTTATTATACCTCTCACTATATGAATTATTTTATTATTATATCTCTTTTTTATCTCTTGCTTGGCCAGACTCTTGCCTGTGCCACCCAGCCTTTCCAGACTGGTCAGGCTCGTGAGCTGGCACGAGCACTGTGTGGGCCAAGGCCCATGTGGAGGGTGCAGGTGTGTGCAGCACCTTTGGCATCTCTGAATGCTCAAGATCTAGATCAAGATACTCTGGATGCTCAAGATCAAAATCATGTCAAGATGCCTCCTTTAAGGCATCTCCCAAACAGCTTCTCTGTTCCCCTTCCTGCAGCTGCTGCATGTCTGGTTAAGCACTAGGAGGTTAGAGTGACCCATAAAGCATCTTAAATTATTGTTTGCGTGGATGCATTCCAGCAGGAAGATTGTCCATTTGGATCTCTACAACAGGAAACTTTTATTGTGTTTTATTTTACTTAACTGTTCTGAATTGCCTTTGTTGCCTGTAGAGAACTTGGCTCTTGTGAAGGGCTGAGGGTCAGAGCATCAGAGCAGAACTRTAAAAATTAAATGTGGGGAAATATGAATTTGAGATTTAAAAAAAATGGTAATAGAATTAGCTTTGTAAGCTAAGACTGAAGAGTGATCAAATAGCAACTCTATTCAGTTGTCTTTTAATAAGTCACACTGTTTATTTTAGTGTTACGACTTGCTGCGAGATGACGCTCTTATCAAATTCATGCCTCTAGCTTAGTTACATAACATGTCGATTGTCAGTCCTATCTGTCAATAGAAGATTGTTTCTTTATGTACATATTACTTTTTAGATGCAGGTTGAAGCAATAGTCTCATTTATTGTTCCTTGATGTTTCCTTTCTGCAGATTGACAAATTGAGTCAGCCTCCATCTGTGTGGTTAATCCTTTCCTAGCTTAATATTTACTTTCCATTAAAAAAAGAGAACATCCTAAGTTATTACTWCTTAAGATAAAAAAAAAAAAATCTCTGGCATCTTTTAGCTGTAATGAAGTAAGCCTCAGTGAAATAGTGTTTATCTTCTGCCTTATTGTGATACTTTGTACTCTTTTTGGAAGTGCTGGGATTAGTCTATGTAGCTGATACTTTCCTTAGGTCTTGTTTTGAATGCGTGGGAGTCTTCCCTATATTAAAAAAAAAAAAAAAGTTTCAATTAGTCTTCATCACTTTTCAGATTTAATATCTTTGGTTATTGCAATTATGTCATAATGTTCTAGTTATCTGTAGTCATCTTTGGAAAAGTAGGTTGATGTAGCCTGTGTATTGTGAAAGCAATTATAGAACGGGTTTGGAGTTAAGTCTTTGAGTTTAGGGAACATGACTGTGAGCTGTATGTATTAAATTTCATAATCTTGGTTTGCTTTTTTTCTTGTTGTTTTGATTGTTGGTTTGTTTTTTATCTGCTTTTAGAAACCTTCTTTTTGTGCTTGTGATGAGAAGTTCAGAACTGACTATGATTGGGGTGATTATGGCTGGCCTAGCTAGAGGGATTATTGCTTTCCTGGTATGTGGCATTTGCTGTGGATATAACACAATTGCAAACTTAGCTAATGCAAAACCTTACTCGAAATTGCTCAGAGCATAGTTCTTTTGTTGTTGTCTTTATTTTTGTATTTGGTATCAAATGACAGGAATCTTTTTTGTCCTCCCAGTTAGACCACTTATTTAGGATGCTCAGTATTTCTAATTATGTTAAGACCACTGTGCTATTTTCTCAAAGTATTACTACTGCAGTTAGTTTGTCTACTTTTTTGAAGAATTAAAATCTTGTTCATACCTGTTTTAGCAACAATAGATTTGAAATAAAGCTGTAAGAAAACTTTTTAAAGTTACTTTCAATTCCTGTTTTTGTGAAGAATGCAGGCATTCTTGTCAGTATAAGAGGCTTACTCCTAGACTTGTAATCAGAATTTTGGTATAATTTTTGTATGTTCTTGTAACTGAGAGATTTTGCTTGAAGTAATGCTTATAGTAGTACTAATAGAGTATTTGAAGGAATCATTTGTGTCAGCTAGCTTGGGAAATTTCAAAGAGACTCTTTGATTGCAAAAGCATTTTTACAGATGGGCCCTAGGTGGCAGAARTGTTCCACGTTCTCAAAATTCACCCTCGTGGTGCGTTGAATCACCCAGTTGAGACGGGGAAGGTATGTGGAGTTAATAGAAACTGCTCTCCTCATTAGCGCTCTCAAATGGAACAGGCGTATGGTCTTAAGATGCTTGTGCACAGACGTAACGGCAGGAGATGGCTCATGTTCCCAAGTTCCCCTTTATTTGCATGCTTCCTAACCCCAGAAGACTGCAGTATTAGTGCTAGGTAGCAATGATGTGTTGAATGCAGCACATAAAGGAAAGATGGGTTAGCTCATGGAGTYTTTGTTTATTCTGAATAAAACTGTCTTGTTATGTAAACAGGTGCCTCAAATTCCTCAGACAGCTTGCAGAATGAAACGTTGTTAGAATGAAAATTTCGGGTATGCTGTCAAGTAACTTCACCAAACTTGAGCACTTCTGTGATTAAAAATATAGCGTATGTGTTCATATGCTGCATGGATAGCCAAAACAAACTCAAATTATTTGTCTTTTTTTGTAGGCTTTATGCAAGGTTCTTATTTCAGGATATTGCGGTTTTTTCAGGCTTCTCTGTTAGCCTTTATTCAAGTTAAATATTTTGTGTTTTTCATATAGATTCCTTTGCTATAAAACATCAGTGAATAAAATGGAATAATACAGAACACATGAACATATGAAAATATGTCCAGAAATTCTTAGGGATAATAACTATATGTGTTTGAGGTACTGTAGGCTGTAGTATCACTTAATAGAACATAAAGAAACATTATGTATTCATGGAGTAACCTTTCATGAAAGGTACTGTCTAAATTTTTTTTGTTTTGTTTATTTTTGTGTGCTCAGTTCTTGACATGTTTTGTGGTCTGACAGTTTAAAAACTTCTTGGTAAAACTGAATTTATTACTATAGGCTACGCAACTACTTCAGCTGCTTCTCTGTATAACTTCAGACAATTTCTCACATTGCTGTTCTTACAGGACAGTAGCAAAAAAGACCTCTTTATTTTGGCACTCCTTTTTTAAATTGTTCACCAATGTTTTCTCTTTCAAGCGTTTTATGAGTTAATGTTATGTASAGTTCAGTTGTGCACAGGATTAAATGCAATGTTTTAAGGGTGTCTTCAGTTTGGAAGAGCTAATAGGAAAAAATGAATTGGCTTTGGTAGTGAACCATTTATGAACTGATGAAGATGTCTTTGCTTGTAAATGGTGCCCTGAAGGACTCTGGATTTAAATATGCACTTAAAAGAGTTTCAACTTAATTTACAGTTTCAGATCATGCTTTGATTGTTGAGTTTTTAATTCGTGATGTTTTTGTGGGGTTTCCTGGACATACCCCGTGTCGTAACATTGGTGTAGGAATTGCTAGAAATGTGTGGTGGACACGTTGCATTTCTGGTACAGCATCATGCAGCAACTGTAAGTTTTGTAAATTAATGTACCATTACTCTCTTAAAGAAAATATGAGTTTTTTTCCTCTTTAAGAAAATTGTTCAACGAGGTTTTTGTCCATAGCTCCTGTTCTTCTTGATATTTACTGTGCTAGCTACTATCCTTGTTCCTTACAATTTACTTCTTGTGCAGGGCTGGTCTTTTTAGGGGACTGAATGAACATGGGAGGAAGAAACTATCATTTTAGGGCTTTATTCAGAACAGSCAAACCTGAGAGCCTGATTAGGTAATTGCGGAAGCATTGCCTCTCTTTTCCACTGTGAMGAGTTATTGTTAGGAGCAAGCTTAGTTGGAATCAACAGAGCTTTCATAGGAAGGACAGTACTCCAGGGAGAGAAAAACAAGACCTGATGAAACTGCACTTAAATACTAAGGATTTTCTTAAGCATTGTTTTTTAAAGCATTTCACATTTCTCAAAGATTTAATGCAGAGTTTTTTTTCCCTTGTCTGTTTCCCACACCAGAAGGTTTTAGTAATAAAAATGTTACATTTTGTATTAAGCCTAACTAAGTTAAAAGGGCAGAGGCTTGGGCATGATCAAGGTTTGGCCTGTTTAGAGTCGAACAATGAAGCCTTAGTGCCTTTTCCATCTCCCCATCCGTCACGCAAACCAGCGAGTAGCTGCAGCTGCTCAATCACTTCCTGTCACAGCAATGTAATGTTGTGTCCCAGAACGAGATGATCATCTTAGCTGTGATCATCCTGGAGTGTTTATTAAAACACTGTTGTTGTTGTTGTTGTTATCCCTCTGCCAAACAGATATTAGTTCTGGCCTTGGGGGACCTGCATTTTCATGATGTCAAAGAAACAGTCAGCAGGAACACATTGTGATTCTGGGTTTATTAATGTCTTCTCAGGGGCCTGGAAGAGTTCATTATTTTAACTGAAGCTTGGTTCAGAACATGCTATTTCAGGTTACCAAAGGCAGAGATGTTTATGTGCCTTTGAAAAGTCCAAAATTGAAAATGGAAGGCTGATTTTGAGTAGGCTGAATATAGGTTTTATGAATGGAATAAGAAAGTGCAAGCTAGCTGTAGCTTCCTTGAGACTGAAAGGAGCCCTGGCCTCTACATGGACTGTCACTCTTCTGAATTCTTCCTTTTGCTAATTGGTTTCCCCCTCCTGAGTTTCTCCAGAGCGAGTAGTTTGTCATTGCGGCGAGGCAGCCTGCGCTGAAACGCCGCAGCGGCTCCTGTGATTGATGTGTTGCCCCTGCCCGGGGCCAGGAGGAATCTGAATTTCCTGTGAAAGCCGCCAGCTCCACTCATTTTTCAAAGAACAGGCTTGAATTTGAGTGTTCTTCTATATCTCATACGTGCATGGCTCACAGTTCTTTATTATTTTTTCTTCTACCCCCCCCCCCAACATTTCTGTAGCTGGGAAGAACTTCAAACACGGTTTTGAGAGAGTTCTTGAAGTCTTTGTGGGCAGCTCTGTGCAGGGAAGGGCTTTGCCTGTCTCCTTCCTTTGTAGTGCTCTTCCAGCCCCTGCATCTCGGGGCTGCCTGACAACGTGGTAGCAAGTAGCCTGGAGCAGCTTGGGGAAGTTTCTGYTTTACAACTTCTGCGTGTGTTTTGTAATGCCAGCAGTGTTGATAGCACATCGATGTTAGCATAGAGTACTCCCAAAGAATTTAAATATTGGTACAGAAAAGTAGAAAGTGTTTGTAGAAGTACAAGTTTCTTAATGTTTCTGCAAGCAGCAGCGTGTGCTACAGGTGGCAGAGCTCTGGAGGAACCCCCAAAGGGTAGCTGGTCAGAGGCAATAAGGGGATATATTCACACGATCTGCATTTTCATCAGGCTGTGAAAAGCTTCCTTTAGCTKCTGTTGTTATGAAGCTACAGTAAGTTTCAAAAGGTTTTTTTTGAGTATTTATAACTTAAAAAATGGTAGATGCAAACGTGGGTTTGGAAGATCTTGTGTTGGTAGCTGTCACAGTAAAAACTATTTGCAAAGTCTGTGATGTTTTCCTGTGAAGCACAAGCTAAGCAAAATAGTGTCTTCAGGTTGTGTCAGTGTTATTTAAAAAACAGCCAGCAAGGTTTACAGATATTTGCCTTGTTTTTCAGAACTTTGCCAAGAATATTTTTGCAATTCTTCAGTCGGTAAAAGCCAGAGAGGAGGGCCGTGCACCTGAGCAGAGACCGGCACCAAACACAGCACCCACGGTAGGAGCAGCGCTTGGAACATGATGCTTCTGGCTCCCAGAGTGAAAGTGTGAAGTGTCTTGTAAGAAAGTTCAGGGTCTAGTGAAAGAGTAGCTAAAGAGTAACTGCCAAGCATAACTTCACAGATACTCTGCCTTCAGTTACATTTATTGCTATTTGAAGAGTTGAATATATCAATTTGTTCAATATGTTCTTGTTATTTGGAGATTAATCTGTTAGTGCCAGCTTCCRTATGTACAAGACAGTAGCTACGTTCTGCAGCTACTTTCTGCAGCTATTTGCAAAAAAACATATATATGTATTAGATGAGACTTGCCATTTCAAACAATATTTTGCAGGGTGTTCTTTTTTTTTTCTTTGACAGGGTAGCAAATGTTTAGGAATCTGGAACATGACTCATGAGTGGGAACAGCCTGAACTAAATTTCTTTGGTCTGTGATAAATCAGGAAGACAGATTTATAGTTTTATTGTTTAAGCCTATCTGAGTTTTAGACAGCAATTGGTTTGTATTGTGATATTTACTATTGGGCTTTATGAAACTCAATATATTCTGTGAACTCAGTGGCAGTCTGCTGTGAAAGCTATTTAATCCTGGATTTATTTTTGATACCATTGCATTTAACAAAGAGCTAAATTTAAACAGCAGGATGAATTTCAGCACTTAAATATTTGCTTTGTGTTGAATTTCATAAATTGTACACAGGACTAGTCAAATATTCAAATTTGCAATAATTGTGGCTATGTAACCAAGCCATCCATGGAAAAAGGATGAATTGGTATTTAGTGTGCTGCTAGATGGGCACAGCTTTTAACCTTTTCTCCAGTATGCCTTTTTTCTTCCAGAAATGTATTTGTTCCATAGGTATAACAGRTTCTTAGCATAATCTGGTTTGCAAGGAGCGTTGCAGGAGAGTGACTGAAGGCTTTACCAGGACTTGTCAGTTGACAGTGTTTTTGTAKTCTTGAGTTATTACGAAAATACAATATTTTCTAGAAACTTACAGATATCGCCTAATGTGGTCCATTACTTCCACTTCAGTTTTGCTTTGTTTTTTGTCATTCTTCTCCTTTTAAACTTTGTTACAATGTAAAGAAATGGATGCCAAAATGAAACACATGAGCAATTTCAAGTACATTGAAAGTCCTAGACAAGTTAACAGATTTTATTATGCTCTTAAGCAGTTGTATGTAATACTCTTAAAGAGTTCAAAATTACTGAATAATTTTACAAATCTTAATTGTTTTAGGATCCCACTTTGAGAAATAAGCAACCTATTCCAGCTGCCTACAACAGATATGATCAGGAAAGATTCAAAGGAAAAGAGGGTAAGTTGATCATAAAGCTACTTTAAAATACGGAAATTCAGAACTGGAGCTCACCAGTTGTAAGGTTAGGGATGGGTGGGTGTGGGCAAGATTGTCTGCCCATGCTCATCAACCCCCAAACCAAAATAATAGGTAACTTCCTAGTGATAACTTTTCCAATGGACAAATCTGCTAATCAAGTCTCAAGGGAGAGGGTCCCCTATCGTCAATAAAAAGGCTACAAAAATAACTGCAGAACTGCAAAATAACTGTCAGATGCGTATAGTCTTCCTTTACCCACGGTCATAATTATTCTAGGAATTGTTTCCAATATTTCATTGGAATAAAAGGCAGGAGTAAATTTCTGTGCTTCCTATAGGAAGTTTATTAGTTTTTTTTATGATCTCTTAAACTCTACACTGTTGACCTCAACTTACTTCTATTTCAGTCCTTTTCTTTTACTATTTTCTTTGAAATGTGTACTAAGGAAGGAAAAGAAATGTAGGCTTGAGCACTTGCCACATAGTTTTCCTGTTATTCCCATTTGTGAGTTAAAAACAAAAAAAAGTTAAATATATATATATTTGACAGTAAGAAATTCAAATTAGAAGAAATTACTAAACAACTGACATCGACAACTGACAACATCTGTTAAAGAGGTGAATGTTTTTTATGCTTTTATTGTATATGGTCCCAGAGGTCATAGGAAGAAACATGTTGCGATTACCAGGAAAAACAAAACACACAAAAACTGTTTCTGCATGTAACTGATGTGAAGGAAAAGCCAATGTATGTTTTGTGCAATTATGTGTCAGTGCTGCAAAGGACTGTCCTGTGCTGTGAGTCCTGTTCCAGTTGGAAGGTTCTTCTGTCATCATGGTAATGAAGAAGTGCCCCAAATGGTCACGTTTCACCTTAGGATAGTTCTTATTATCACTTTTATGCCCAAAAACATATTTACATATCTTGCTTTTTCAGTTACTTATCTTCAGCTTAGTCACCTACTGCAATCACTTTGCATTTTCATTTTCATGGTCTATTTGAAAAAAATCAGTGACTTGGTGTGTATTACTGATGCTATCCTGTGCTCTARTTCTTAAGCTAAGTGTTTCTTTTGCGATGTTGATTTATGAATGGCTTTGATGTAGTAGTWATGGAAGTTGCACGGGATCAGTAAGTAACAACTAGATTTCTTAGGAGAGGACCTAGGGATTTCAGAAATACCTTTTCCTCAGCTGTAAATTAACTTTAGAAAATAGCAAAAGTCCTTATCTATTTACTTTTGGGGTATTCTTATGTCAGAGATTTTAAAACTGAGGAATATAATCTTATTGAAATTTATCTTGAAGTAATTTCCAAAATGTGTAATTATATAATAAGACTTTTCTGTGCCACACAGAGCAGATAATATACTTGGCTTAAAACAGGGCTCTGTGTTGTTTGCAAGTGCATTACAGTGTATTTTTTAGTATTATTTATTTGTTAATAGTCGATCTAGTAAGAAATGGAATTGACAAGATTCTGTTTATCAAAAACTTGCAGTGTCTGGGATTTGTGGGGGAAAAAATGGGGAGAAAAGCCCTGCTTCACAGCAGTTTTGACAGTTGAATGATGACTGTGCCTAAATGTTCCTTGCCATTTTACATTATATTTTATATATTCCTTTAGCACATTGTTAGTACCCTCTACTACCATTATTGATACGGGCTTAAAGTTTAGGCAGCAGAGAGATCAACTGTTTCTTTGAATATTTGTGTGATTTAGTGTGGATGTAGGTGATAGTTTTATTTTTAACAGTGATTCAAAGCTTGTAGAATTAAGCTTTGTAGATTTAAAAAAAAAAAAAAGATAAAAACCCACGAAATAAGTAGGCTGAGTTGGAGTTGAGTTTGTCTAACTCCTGTGATGGCCTCTTCTTTCTAAGGTGGTATCAGGTGTTTTCTTTGCTTACCTTACCTTTTGATCTCTGCCAAAAGGGACAGACTTTGTTGCTAGAATCATTTAGGTTGCTTCAATAATAAATGTGAAGGGCCTTTTGGCTGATGCTCTTTCTGAAGAAGGAAGAAGTGGTCGGCTRCACCTGCAGTCAGCCAAACTGCTTAGGCAGTCCTGAGTCAGTTTGCAGCTTCTCCCAAATGGGATGTCTGGTTGCTGCAGCTTTGATTAGGAAGGAGATGGAGACTTTGAGCTAATGTGAGGATTGTTCCATAGAACATTGCAGGTAATATTCCATTTTGAATGCAGTTCCTTGGTTTTCCCAAGTTTTTTTAGGTGCTTTTACTTGAGAAAATTTTTCATATGCTATAGTTGCTTAAGTGATTCCAGAGTATAAAATAATGCTCTGATAATATTCGTGAAGGTTTGTGATTTCTTTCTTTTAATCAACTGAATGTATCTAGTAATGTAAAGTTTCCCTGTGTTACTCTAATAACGTTCCATCCTTTAAGGAGAGTGCATGGAGTGTTATTGCACATCTGTTGTTGTGTCTATCCAGGCATCAACATACTAAAAGTCAGGCACTCTGAAAATGAATATTCATTTAGGTCTATTTAGTATAAATAGGAAAAGAGCTTGCTCTACAGCCAACTGACTTTATGCTGCTACAACACAAAGTTTTCTTCACCATATCTGAGTGTGTCCTTCAGGAAAGCTTGATGTTTGTTTGAATCGTTCATGTATCTGGGTTGAGTTTTCCATCAAAATAGCCCCCCCCCCCCCCCCCCCCCCCCCCCCCCCCCCAAAAAAAAGTATAAAAAGATTTCAGTCCTAACGTTAAGCCTAGGAAGCATTGGGCTATAAAACATGATCTCTTTCTGTGTATGAGTACTAGCAGCTTGAGATTAGTGAAACTTGACTGTCCTACTAGACTTTTGTATTAATATCTCATTTTTTTTAGGTCTATTAAATTCTGCTTATTATCCTAACAGTATTATTCTAATTCTAATATTCTAGTTCTTATTCTAATTCTGTTATTATTCTAACAGTAAATATTTGCAAAATCTTCCCATTGGGGGGAAGAAAAAAAATTGCAGGCTCTGTGGCTATATTCTGATGTGATACAACCAGGTTGTTTGTTAGCATGCCTGTTAATTGCTGGAATTCCAGCAATTAACCGGATTCATATAGTGATTTTTCTATTGGCTCTCTGAGATATGTAAGAATTGTGTGAAAAGCGGTGATTGAACTGTTCTGTATGTGCTGGGAGTTCTGTGAACTCGAGGTAATACAGTTTGGAAATGTAGGCATGGAACTAACTTTGACTTTTTTTAGTACTGGCAAGGAGTGCTCAGTAAACTCATGTAGAGTGAAATTCAGTGCCAGTGATTTAATTACCATAGGTGTGAAAATGCATTGCTGAATCATTTTCTGGGGAGTCAGCAGAGCTGCTGCCATCTCTGTTTTGAAAAGTGTACAGCTGGAAGAAGAAGTGCTTATTCAGTCTTACTCATCACCCCCAGTTCAAACAGACTCTCTAACTAGGTCTCGCATGTTTCCAAGCTATGAATGAGCCTTTGTACTCTGATTCCTTTGGAGAAATGCAGGTTAATGTAGCATTTTTGAAGCTATTAGTCCTTGGTTGTGTATCAGTGCTCAAGTTGGCACCCAGGTTGAAGGCTAGAAGGGCAGCAAGCTGCAGGATGAAAAGTCAGTGTGAAGTGGAGCAATGATCTTGAAGCAAAGAGAAGGTCCTTTTGAGGATCAGTCCTCAGAAAAGGATATGTAGGGTCTGTCCCCACTGGAGAGTGTCACTGGTCCCATTAGCTTGATGCTCTWGTGCGCCTAGTTTCGTGTCCAGGTCTAATTCTTTTGAATGAGAGGAAACATTCAGGTTGATAGAGATGCCAGAAAGGTAACTGATGATGAACCACATCAAAAAATGTATATGGTTCTTTGGATAACCTTTGGGTAATTGTCAACTGTGATATCATATTGGCAGCACGTGCAGTGACTGCAGGAGRGAAGACAGTCTTGCTATTAACTGCCTAGTTTATATTTTGAAGTGTTAGAATTAATTATTCAGTAGTAGTAGTAGTTACTGGGTTTAGTCCATAATGAGGTACTTTTTAAATGCTTTTCTAGCTCAAGATGGTTTTAATAATGTTTATTTTTATAAAACCGATTACATCTGGCAAACAAAGTTGGAATGCAGTTTGACACAGTGCATTACTGTTGGGTTTTGCTTGCATTATTTATTCTTCCGTGTTAGACTTGCATGTAAAATATTTAGTGTGGACTGCTCTTTGCTTAAGAATAAGAGGTGTACAAGATAGCTGCTTTGGTAAATTTACTGCAAAATCCCTGTGTATGAAAGACTCTTGTTTCCTSTATAAGCAATTATTCCGTATCTAATTGCAAGTTTCAAAATGAAGATGCAAAGCGTTGCCATCACGATGATTTGCTTATTTATTTAAGGTCACATTTTTGTCTTAAATACCCTTTCCTTGAGTAGTTGGGCTGATTTCAGCCACTTCCTCCGCTCCTGTCAGCGGAGCTGTGATTTTGTGGTCGCGCTCCGGGAGCCGCAAACGCGTTGGTAGCCGGTGGTGAGCGYTTCATCCCGGCGCTGCTGCGGGACTTGGAGGGAGGGAAGCAGGGCCGAGCTGGAGGGAAGGAGGCCGCTGCGTTTCCGCCTCGCCGAGAGGCTGCCGTGCGGCTCGTGTGTGACACGGCCCCGTGTCCCCGCCGGCCGCTCCCGGACCGTCTCCTTTGCTCTGTCCCTGCCCGCAGTAGCCCTGGGAGTCTGTGCCCTGGGCCTTGGGTTGGGTCACTTAGTGTCTCTTGCATCTCACTAAGAGGAGGCACTCRCAGGTTTTACACTTTATTTATCTTAAGGTGTTTTTTAAAATTATTTTTAGTTTTTTAATCTCTACCACCCAAGTAGCTGTTAAATAGCTTTGGGATGCCCGTTTAGCTGCCTGGAAAGTAGGATGGAGACTCCTTTTCCCAATGCTTGATCAAACAGGGGATCTTTGCAATCCTGTTTGCTTGCTAGGAAGAAGAAATGGCAGAATGTTGGAAGAGGAAGCCAATGATGGCCAGAGCCATCTTTGGTGGTTCTTGTGGCTTTCCTTAAATGGAACTGGGACAAATTTTACAGGAGACTTATCTTTTCTGTGAAAAATGGAGCTGCTGGCAGTAGAGCAAAGGCTTGTGTTCCTTTAGTGGCTCTCTCCACTTTGTACCTGTGCCACTGGTTCTTCTCTCATGATCAAGATGTGAGCACCTTTCCTGCCTTTGCAGGACTAATGGAGACTTGGGTGACGGGAGATTAATTCGTGGGAATGCAAGGCTTTAATAGGGACAAGATGCAAGAGGCCGAAGGGAAGAAGTAAAAACCTAGCCACGAAACAAATGTGCAGAGGTTTTAATAGAACCGGGATTTGTGCTGGGGGAGAGAAACTAATAGGTCAGGCATGATGGGTGCAGTGGCACTTGCTGGTTTTGTTCAGGTGTGTCCGGCTGCACTGGGGTTGGTGAAGAACTTCTGGTTGAAATAGCTGGAAATTCTTTGTCACAAGGAAGAGGAATCCGTAATAGGCCAGTCTGGAAGGGAAGGGGCAAGATTCCTCTGCTGCTGACCTTCTACATTCACAGGCAACTGTCATCCTAGATTATTCATCTCTGTTTTATGTCACTCCAGGTCAGCAAAAGCATCTCTTCAAGTTGGGAGAGCTCCGCCAAGTACTCTGTGAGCCCCCAGGCAGCACCTGAAATATTAATATGTTTCTTGCCGAGCGACAGTGACCTATATAGTTGAGAAGACTCTTATCCATGGGCATGTTGGTTGAATACAACTTCACCACCTTAAACTTCAGTTCTGTAAACTCTGAGCTCAGATACTCCATGTGTAACTGCATCTGGGGGATGGCCAGGGAAAGGCGATACCAATTTTAAAAAGAGAAGTTAGGCTTCCTAAACATTTCCTCTCAGGAAAGACTGCATTCATGACTGTACCTATATTTGAGTTCTCTGAGTTGGTTCTTTGTACCTCAGAAATGTTAACTGTGGGAGAAGGGGGACGTAGAGCAGGTGAGATCTGGAACAGCTGRACTTGAGGTGTCTTCACACGCTGGGATCAAGAAATGACTTGTGTGCTGGTGGAGAGTGCATRTAAAACAAAACATGGCCCATAAATCCGGTCTCTTCACCTTAAGCAGCTTTTCTCCAGGCCTTAGAGAGTTACAAAATCTGGGAACTTCTTTGCTTCATTTCCTTCAACTGTCTGGTAATCTTCCTCATTTAAGAAAGAAAGAAGGAACAGCCGTAGAGTCTTCACAGAGCATCTGCACTGTTTTTGAATTGTCTGAGCTTCAATTTAAGTTAATTTACTCTTGATAGGAGTAAGAAACTCTAATAGTCTTGGAGCATCTGTTATTTTTCTTGGACTTCTTGTATGCTCAAAAAAAGCATTATTTTTGGTTTTCAGTGCTTTTGTGCTAGAGCATTGTGTAAAGATGATGGTATAAATGGCATTAATCTTCCTATTCCCAGTAATTGTTTCTGCRCTGTATCCTTTACCTAAGGATATAGAAGGACTACTGAAAAGCAAAAGGCTCTTAGGGGCAGGTTTAGTCCCTGAGCCTTTACACACTTGTGGCATTTACCTTGGCACAAATTCTGTGTCGTGAAAACTGTTTGGTGGAGGGCAGGCAAACACTTATAGTAACTTGGGTTTTATATCATGAATTTATGCATATTCTGTGCTTTATATAATAATACATAATAGTATCATTGTTTCTATACTTTAGTAATCTTGTGCTTTAGTAGTAGATCTGCCTTGCTAAGTAACCCTACTTTTATAGGCTGTTTCTTCTATAGTTTCTTATTGAGCATTATTTTTGCTTGCACAGGTTGGTATGTTCCATTATAATGCATTCTGAGAATACAAGTTTTTTCCATCTTAGTAGCATTTCTGAGGTTGTGTCTGCTGCAGTACCTCCTTGTGAAGACTTCAGGTTATGTCCTTTCTCTGGGATCGTTGGGATGGTGTGTATGGCAGGGAACCCTGGCTTTGGTTGTAGGAAGCAGAAATACTGCCTTAGAAAAAACAGATTCCATAGTAGTAGCCGGGTTTTGTAGTGTAAACAAAAACTGAAAACCCACCAGCAKCAAGACCTGTTCCTTGCAAAAATTATGAGAAAGATATTTCCATTGATGTTGACTTAGATGTGATGTCCCTATTTTTGAAATTATTTACAAGAAACTTTTTTTTCTTTGCAGAAACGGAAGGCTTTAAAATTGATACCATGGGCACTTACCATGGAATGACTTTGAAGTCTGTAACGGTAAGCTAAGAGTCCTTTTAAAATATGCTGTGTAGAGCTGTTGTACCTGTTGACTTAATACAAGTAATGAAAGTTATTTTCTGTGGAAAGATATTTTAACTTTGGTCTGTGTGTGGTCCAGAGATTTTTGGGTTCGAGGGACATGTCTATRGTAAGAAGGTGAGATGGGGAGGCTTCATTAGAAGTTCTTTTTATTGGAGATACAACGTTCTTGTCCTTGACTCACAAATTTTTGGTTGTCCTATCTTGTACCTATTAAGAACATAATTTCTTTCATACTCATAATGGATACCACTATAATCACAAAACAAAGAAAAGCAGGCTGTAGGGGATCTCTGTTTCCTACTTTAATATAATAACTTTGTCTCGTGGTGGGTGAATTGGACCTCAACATTATTGTTAAAACTTTCTGTCATAGTGAGATTGACAGTTGTTTCCTTCGTATGATTTTATGATGTTGCTGGTGTGGATTGCTACACCTACAGATGAGAAAAGAAACCCCTCAAACAGAGTTTCTTTTTTTTGCCAGTATTTGTCTACTTTGATGGCAGTGAGTTGAATGCACTCAGACTAATGCTGTTTTGATTTGCTGGTAAGGAGGACAGATGCTGCCAAACTAATGCAGAGCCCTCATTAAGGTTCTTGCCATCTGCACACCTATATAAATCTGATGAATATACAGCACTAAATACTCTCTTAAATCTGTGCACTACTTCTAGTTTGCACTCTTAATTTGAACACAAAGTAGTATCCAGAAAGTAATGTGCCCTTTCTTAGTTTCTTTGTCTGATAAAAGCTCATGCTTAAGTCATTCTTTGCAAACCTTCCTTGGACTTAAAATGTCACCAGCGAGTTAATATTGTAAGGAAGGAGTCTTGGTTCTGAACAGCATCTATAAACATATAGATGATTTCAGAAATTCACAGATGAAGGAAAGAAACAGTCTGCACTGCCCACAGGTTTGTTCTGCCTCTTGCACTAGTTAATTTAGTGACAAGTTTCCTTGCTGTTGGCTGAGGTTGGGCTGCATCGGGGCAGTTTCCTGTGGCCTCATGTTTTGTCTGCTTCAGGTGGTGGCTTTGGGTGCTGGGCAGRGGCAAAGCAAGATTGCAGTAAAACACAAGTATCCAAAGGTTTTAAACCTCAGAGTGTGAGAACTRTGAAAGAATGAACAGTAATTCCAAACACATTATTTTCCAGAATTCATTTAAATGCATGTATATGTATATATATATAAAAATATGTATCTAAAGGTTTTTCATACTAGGAAACCTAGCTCTTACTTAGCTTGCAACTCAGCAGCATTTTGAGGTAGAGTTATTGAGCTGTCCTTGATGCTTTGTTCTGTTGGGAAGAAAATACAGCTAATATTAGAATATTTATAATAAGTGCTTTTTTGGTAATGTAAACTGGAACTTTTTGAAATAATTGCTTCTTAATGCATGGCTGCGCATAGAGCCTTATTTGGTGTCACGAAAAGTGTTAAAACTCCATCTGTCATTTAGACATTTCTCTAAGAAAACTTCTAAGTGATTTTTTTCTAAGTGAGTTTTTGAGTTTTCCAGACTATTAAAAAGCTGCCCTAAATGTTCAGCTCATTCATAAATAGTGGTGACATATTGACTTTGTGTTTTAGAGAGGAAGAAATAAATCTGTTAATTATGTGGCACAGAAATGTTCATCTGTTTTTGTCTAAACTTTGTCACAGTGATGGACCACATAGGCCTAACCCATAACCTTCTTTTTTTTTAAATGAGCTATTAGATTTCACATTATGCTTTTTTTCCATGTGTTCTGATTTTTAATGCCAATCAAAACCACGGGGAAGTGGAAAAGGAGTTTCTCCCCACAGAGTTAATGGGAAAGTACACTGTGCCCGTTGGCACCTCATAAGAATATGGAGGATAGCATAGGAATTATATCCCATGTTATGCCTTGCATGCTGTCCTTGCAGGAAAGGGGTGTATAGCTCCTTTCCTGAACTCAAAGTCCATCTCAATGCACATCTCAAAGTATTACATTGCTCTCAGTGGCTGTATTCAAACCCCAGATCTCTGATTTCCAGCTGGCTTATTAATGATAAACTCAAAAGTTTTAATTCTTATGTCAGTGTTCTGTCTTCACTTGAAGATCTCTTCTGCTGCTTCTGTGGTGTTTGCTTCAGTGACATGTATAGAGAGCAACTAGACTCTCTTGCGGCCTCAATCTTGTCTGGTGAAACCATACTAGTCCTCTTCAAAAACAAGTTTCCAGTTTCAGTTTTTCCATCTTTTTTTGRACATGGAGAAGTAAGTTTGACATAATGTTCCAAGGGAGATGGCGCTAACCATGTGTTCAAAGATGTGAGGTGGTGTTGCCTTGGGAGGGATGGGTTGAATGCTCTTCCTTCCCTTGGTTCTTTACAGCCTTCTCCTTTATTTTTGCACCTCAGTTAATGAGCTGCCTATTGGAAGAGATTGTTTATCCCAATCAGTTGAGTGTTTGACGTTATTGATAACAAATCAAAAGCAGGAKGTAGATGTTACTTTCAAGTGTGTTATTGTGCTATTTCAAGTGTGTTTCTGCTATTCTTTTTTTTGGTCTAAACTAAAAGTTTTACTTTCTTTGGGTGTCTCCTCGATGGAGCCATAAGTTTGCAAATTTCAGGAATTTGCTAGCAATGGGAAAAACTTGGTAGGCATCTACTAGTTAGAACATAAACTGTGTCCCACTGTCTGGAGCTGTCTATCCACTTCTCATGTAAATATAATGATTTAAATGAAATGTGCAAAACTTTGGTTTTGTACTTGTTCCTGTTGCAATGTGAGATGTCCTAGATGGTTACTTTTTTCTTTTTCTTTTTTTTTTCTTAGCAGTAAAACAAACTTCTGCATTTTGACTGMTTTCTTTTCATCAGTGATTTTGCAAACTTTCTTAGCATTCAAAATTTGTGCCAGAACAGATGGTGAATGGTGGGCTTTTCTTTGAAGTAATGTCAGCTAAAATAACTTGTGCTGCTGGCAGTTCTTCCCTCTAACAGGGTTTTTGCTTAATTGGTACACTTACTCTCTCTTAGGAAGAACTGACTTATTTAATGGGTTTTTATTGTGAAGGCATCATTTCATTACTTGTGGAACTGGTTATAACAGGGCAGCTGCCGTGGAAACCTTTCTTTTAAATCCCTGCCACTTCTCCCGTTTCCTGGAGTGGGCTGAGTCTCAGGGAGGCAGTTAAGTTCCTCACAGCAGCTCCTGCCACGTGGCAGCCCAACAGTGTGTCCCACAAATATCTCTTAAAAACATCTTAAAAACATACCTGCATGCTCCAGTTTAAGCCCTACTAACCTCCCAATAGGTAGAAAAAGATCATGGCTTGAAATAAATCACCTAGGAGGCGCAGAGCTCTGAAGAAGTGTGTGTTGGTGCCTTTGTGCCATGAGGGCTGCRAGGAAATGCTGAGAGAGGAGCTGCAGCTGATGTTCTCAAGCTGTTCTGTGCTTGTGTAGAGCAGCACGGGCCAGGTGTATTGCTGGTTTCTGCTGACTGAAGAGAAATGTTAACTGGGATGTTAAGCTGGTGTGGTGGGAGCCCAGGAGGTGGCTTTGACCTTTCTCCTGTATTCTAAGAATGAATTTGAATTTTGCACTGATTATTGCTGCAACCAGAAAGAATTTGACTGCTCGCAATCTCCATGTGAGAAAAGACGATTCGGCGCCCAGGGTAGAGTCCTAGGGAAGCTGCTTGTGAGCTGCCTGTCCCTCAGAGGTGACTCTTGCAACAGGGACCTATAGCAGCATATAGCTGTGCTCTTCCAGGCTGAGGACAGGCTTTGTATGGGTGACGTGTGTATGGAGATATCATTCCYCATGATAACTTGGGTGTTAGTCACTCTGCTGATTCTGCCCATCTTTGTGCCTTGCTTTTCCGAGTTTTCTTGCCTTCAGCTGATAGAGAAGAAAAGACTAGAATGAAAACCCTGTGGCACATCTTATCAACTGGAAGCTGCTGAGGTTTGTGCAAAAAACCCAATGATTTCTGCTATTTGAAGTACCAAGCATTCTGACTTAATCTTAAGGGGTGATTCAATGTTGTTATAAAGTTGAATGTAATAAGATATGCATATCATTGCTTTAAGGCCTTCTGGAAATTACTTTGCCTTTCCTAATTGCTAGAAAGCTCTGTGGTTTTTATCTCCTGGTTTCTTCTGGCATTTGTAGCTGCTGGAGCTCTGAAACTCCCTTTGCCTCTTGTTTTTGCTGCTAGTAACAAGGACCCATCGTCTACAGTCACATGCAGCCACAAACGATCTGGTTCTGGTGTTGTTTGGTGTTAAGTATTAAGACAATTCTCTTATGTAGTTTTGGGCTACGCTTGAAGAATCTGGGTAGTTTAAACTAGGGCTTTAGTTTGAGGCATTTTGCTTGCATCAAACTCAGATGTGAGTGTCTGCAGTGTATTGAAATGTAGAATTTCTTACTAGAGTAAACTTCGAATTTCTAAGTCCTGCTGAGTTCTGTAATAATTTTTTTCTTCCTGTAATTAAACTAATGTCCAACTTGCTGGTGAAACATGTCAGRCTTTTTAACAGTCTTTCAGTTTTAAAATTACACTGAATAACTGTGTGAGAGTATTGGTAATGAAAGGAAATACATTACATGACAACTAAGTAGTTATGTAGACAATACATTAAGTAATTAAATACAAAACAATGCGTTTATTTGCATTAGTATCCTTTCAGCTTCAAGCAGGCTTGGTTTCAGAAGAGCTGCRGCACTGGTTCTGCTCCCCTGTGCTCCTTCTCATCAATCACATYGTGGGCAGGGTCACTTTTTTAAGCGCTAACTAATTGGAGTACGCTCCTGTTCCCATTCCTGTCCCCCAAATCTTTGGAATATAGCACAGTCTCATCTTACTGTACTGGGGAGGTTATGCAGCCTCTGTCTGTAGAAGAATGAAGGGAAAGGTTAAGATGTTTCTGTAATCTCAACCTGGAAAATGCATAGGGACAAAAGCAATCAACGT